CGTCAACGTTGAGCATGCCGAGTTTAATGGAGAGCCACTTTAAAGTGCCCCACCACTTCTGGAGCTTCGCCGGGGTGACCTCCAACGTGACCGCCTGGTTCATGAGGTGCCGGACGTCGCCGGCCGTCCAGGGGAGGTTCTGGAAGCCGATCTTGCGCATGCCCTCATAGGCCAAGCAGTGTGCCCGGATGGTACGGAACCGGGCATCACCAAAGAGGTGGCCAAACTCCTCCAGCTCCCTGGCCCCCATCACCTGGTGCATGTAGGGGATCTGGTGCCGGAAGGGGATGAAGTATCCCAGGAGGCGTTCCAACCACCTGGCCCTCAAGTGTTGTTCCAACGCTCTCTGAGATGTCGGCAATTGGGTTTTGATCTTCCCTGGTTTCCAATGCCGCCACTTGTTGGCCACTGCCAGGACATCCGGGGCCTCAATCGATCCGGAAAGGATCCACTCTTCGCGGTCCCGGATGGCCTGTTCCATTTCCAGTGGAGAATAGGTGTGCGATTGCCTGGCGCCTGCCGCACGAAACAGAAGTTGTTGCAGGGTCTTAGTAGCGAGCTCCAAATCCGCCTCCTCCAGCGGTTGTGGTTGGGAGCCGAGTATCCTCGCGAGGATCAAGTTGTAGGTGTCCGAGGCCACCAGGACGTGGTTGCCGTCAGGTGCCAGCCCCACGATCCGTGTCCACGGCCGCGGGTCAAAGACCACCGCATCCGGGTTGGCGACCTTGTCCTTTTTGACCCATTCCAGGCAGCACGCCACGAGGATTTCCCCGTCCGACTGCACTGGTGCAAATCCAAGGTCATGCAAAATCAACTGGAGCGCGGTTGGCGCCCCTAGGAAGGTCGTCCCAAACGGGGAAGGGAGGCGGGGCCTCCACATCATCATGATCCACTCGAGCCGGGGGCCTAGTCCCTAGGTGCAAACCCCAACCAAACAACAGGGGGCCCCCCAAAACCCCGGAAAGTCAACCCCGAAACGGAGGAAACGGGGGAAAAAGGGGGACCCAGGGAGCCGCCCCGAAAAGGGAAAACCAAACAAGAGAGGGGAACCAAGGCGCACCCCGGATCAGCCCAAGCCGCGCCAATTTTCCTCGCCTGGTGCAAGTCTGGGCCTGCGCTGTTCCCTGGGGGGGGATATCAGCGCCTTCGGCAGCTGTCCCCCCCCCGGGGTGCGCTGCGCATCCGTTCCGGATGGCCGCGGTCCTGGATGGTGTGCCGGAAGATGGCGTTGTCCCGCATCATCACGCGGCCCCCTTCGCGATGTCATCGATGCGCTTGAGCGCAGCAGCCTCCGGATTCCGCAGAATCAGCTCCCAGATGGCATTGGAGACGTGGCCTGTCTGGGTGGTCTGGCTGAATCTGAACCTGGGCACCTTCTGGTCCACGATGGAGACGTCCCGCAACGGGGCCGAGGGCTCCACCCGGCGGTAGTACTCCAGCCGCTCCTTCACCCAGCGGTTGTAGAGGCCCTCCGGCGGCTCGTCCAACACCAGCTGCAAGATGGCCTTGCCGGCCCGGATCTGGAGGAGGCGGGTGCCCCCTCCCCCGGCACGCCACAATACTTGCACATGTAGCCCCCCCGGGTCTCCCCGTTTGTCTTCGGGATGAGTTCCCACGGGGTGACGGAGCTCAGGACCAGGCCACACTCCATGTGCGCCCAGAAGACATGCTTCATCTCCACCGGATAGTTCTTCTTCCGGTAGTCCTTACCCACCACGCCGTGGACGTTGTCCGCCGTGATGGGGGGGTAAACGATCCCCTCATCGCCCTCGCCTCCCCTGGGGCGGATGTCAGGGCCATCGGCACCTGTCCGGCACCCAGGGGCGGAGGGGTCCAGGCCCATCAGCTTGATCATGTCGTTGGTGTAGCCGAGCTTGCGGTAGATGGAGGGGGCCACTGAGTCGGGGACTGCGCCGACCCACCACTGCTTCGTGTTGCAGCGCCAGTTGACCTTCACCTCCGCCAGGGCCCCCGGGCCTCCAATGCGGTCCATGAGGGCCTTGTACACCTCTGGGAACTGCTGGAGGCTCTCCACCGGGACCGAGATGCGCTCGTCGCATACCGCCCGCAGGATCATCTGCTCCTTGGAGTCCGCCACGTCCTGGACCGGGAGCTGCATCACCTCCGCCGGGGTGTCCGTGAGGAAGGCCCGGGCCGCGAGGACCTTGCCCATGGCCCGGTAGACCAATCGCCACTCCGGTCCTGTCTGCGGAAACGGAAGGCCCTCCTCCTTCAGGAAGCACCGCGCGTCCTCCTTCAGGGTCTCCCAGCCCTCCAGGCGGGTCTGATTCTGGGCCTTGTTTTTCGGGCCCCGCTGCCTAGGGCCCTGCAGCAGTGGCAGAGACTCCCAGACTCCCCAGAGCTGGCGCAGGGTGTAGCTGTGCCCGAACATCCCCAGTAGGCCTGGGAGTGTCCAGGACGAGATCTGGCGCGTCCAGTGGAAGTCCTCATCCGGATCGTGGGGGGCAGCCCAAAAGATGGATGGGTAGGGTCGGTCCCCCGCCTTTGCCTGCTGGTGCAACTCATCAACGGAGTACCTGGCCCAGGGGAGTCCACCCACCTGGTGGTTCCTGGGATGCGTACCCTTCTCCAACGCCTCCGGATTCACCTTGGTGAGGTTTTTCGCCCAATCCGGGACGTGTACCGGGCCCGGTCGTCGGACCCAGCGGCCCGCAAAGATACGGACCTCTCCGACCCGTTTGCTCATCATCCAGCGCAGGACCGAGAGCTGCACCTCCGGGTCCTTGGTGTCCAGGCCCACCGGGGTGGCGGACGGCTTGTCAGGGCCCTCGGCACCTGAGCTCGTCACGCCAGAGCCCGAGGCTGGGGGGATGGTGGGCGGCCTGTCAGGGCCCTCGGCACCTGGGCGCGCCGCACCCCCGCCTTTGGCATGGGGATCCCTGTCAGGTCCGGCAGATCTGACAGGAGGGCCGCCGGGAAGGGATTCCTACCCAGCGAGATGACCGCCTTGGTTTCAAGGTAGGAGTCTGTGAGGGATGTGAGGTCGTCCATACTGAAGTCCCTCCATGCCGTTGTCGGCTCGAAGACCCCAGTCTCAATGGCGACCCGGACCTCACTAGGCCACGCAATGGGCTCGAGCATTCTGGTTTCGAGGGAGCCCTTCGCCTGTCTGGCTTGGTGTTTCGCTTTCGCCTCCTCCGCAGTGGTCTGGGCCTGGAGGAGCTCCGGTGTGGGTCTCCCCCAGTCCGCACCCAGCTTGTCCAGCAGCTTCTCACGGAAGAGGTCCAAGTCCAGGTTCTTCAGGAGCAGGCCTCCATCACCTCCTCCGTCAATGGCCCCCCCTTGAAGTTCGTGGAGGACCGCCGCGGAGCGCTCCACCGCTTCCACCTGGTCCGCCTTCTTGGCCTCCTCCTGGGCGATGGTGGTGGCGTTGAGCCGGGTCTGAATCTTGAAGGCCTTCACCGCAGACGGGTGGAAGGCTCTGCATTCCTGGCCCTCTTCCTTGTCGCCTGGCAATGGGGGCCTCTCCCCCGGTGGGGCCGTCAGAAACTCCTCGTCCAGCTCCATGGGGCAGTTCCTGATCACCGCCCGGACCGAGGAGGGGACGAAGTCCGAGAAGCTGGCCTGGTCCGGGTTCTCGCAGGCCATCGGGTCGGTGGCCAGCTCGCTGACGTCCACCGAGGCACTGAGCTTGAGGTCGCGGGCCCGGTCCGTGTCAGGGCCTTCGGCACCCGCGGACCGGGCCGCCGTCCAGACCGCATTGCCCTGGTCATCCACCGTCAACTGCCAATGCGTGCCCGCCATCTCCAGGGTGGCCGAGTTGGTCGCCGTGTCAATGGGCTCCGTCTTCTTGCCGCACCCCATGCACTTCGTGGCGCCCTTCTTCACCCAGGGCATGGTGCAGCAGGGGCAGATCCAGGATGTGGGCACCTTGCCCAGGGGGCGGTTCTCCAGGCCCCCGTACCCCAAGCCAGCGCGCTTGCCAACCTGCTGTCCCGGGGTGCTGAGCCGGGCCTCATGCTCGTACTTCATCTTGGCGATGTAGAAGGCCTCCACAACGCGCTCCAGGCCCCCCTGCTTGAGTTGGGGGCCCTCAAAGCCTCGCAGGAGCCGCTGGACGTCCTTGGCCTGCAGTCGGCGGAGCCTAGTGGCCGTGGTCGCATCGAAGCAAGGGAAGTCGCCCGCCATCTGGTCGTCGCTGAACTGGTAGAGGCCCTCCGAGACCTTGAGGGCCTTGGTGAACACGCTCCCCCCCGGCGGGGGGGCTGCGGGGTTCTCATCCTCCTCCGAGGACGCCTGCTCCTTGACCTTCGCCATCAGCTCCCGGCGCCTCTGCCACTTGGCGTCTGCCCGGGCATCCAGGCGGGCCTCCTCCAAGCGGGCTGCAGCCGAGGGGGACCTGGGCATCGGCAGCTCCTTCTCGTCCTTCGCCAGGAGCTCCTCCATGGGCACGTCCTCCTCCGGCGGGTTCAGGAGCTCCAGGAACGCCCCTGGGGGGCGTGTCAGGGCCTTCGGCACCTGCGCCACCCCAGGGGCTGCATCTTCCATCGGCTCATCCTCTGCCTTGCGCTTGGCCGGGATAAGGGGGGCCTGCTCCAGCTCATCTGCGCTGGAGAAGAAACGCTCGTCAGGTGCCTGAGGGACCTCAGCAGCCAAAACGGTCCATCCTTCTTCCTCCCTCTTCACGAGGCTCGCCAGGTACTTTGCCATGGAGGCCTTTGCCTTAGCCTTGGCCTCTGCTACCGCGGCACCAGCGTAGGCGGGGGCGTACATGGCTTTGAGAGTAGGGGAAAGAAAGATTTCAAATCACAAGACAAAAGATCAAAAGGTCCACTTGAGCCAAAATGGTGGCCCAAGTGGATACTTATTAAGAGTCAAGACAAGCGACCACCTACGGTTAACGCTTTAGCCCAACAAAAACTCCACATGCGCGTGAGGTGCAACCGCCGGTCTTTTATTTCAAATAACTCACCACTGGCCTAAGTGTTATGAAAAGGTCAAACTGAGCAGCCGCCGCATCCCTTGACTGCCCAGGCATCCTTTTGATATTGCAAGTAGGCCGGCCGCTTCTGGACGCTGAAGTGTTCTGCTGGACCTGCTCCTGTCCAGTGCACCAGGCAGTCGTAGAGAAGCCGAGGGATCAGAATCAGGGCCACGAGGTAGCAGAACCAAACGGCCTCAAACAAACCCCAGTGAGTTTAAAAAGGGTCCTTGTTTACTGGGGTTCTCTTGAAGGGGGAACCCTATTGTCCCATAAGCGTGAGAAACAAATCGGACCCCCCTCAAATCTGCGAAGCACCCTTTTATTCCCAATAGACATTTGAGCCATCAGTTAGGGGGGGGCTGATGCTTTTGTCCAACGAGCGAGCTATCCTCCTGAAGGTGGAGACTGTCATGATTGCCATGTAGAAGTCTGCCTTGCCAGCCCTATTGGCCACATGATTGATTTGGATTTGGAGTTCAGTCCCACCTCCTTTTGATTTGGCGAAAGGGAAGCTACCCACGGAAAATCCGCAAACCATCAAACATCCCCAATGGCTAGTCTTCTGTTCCACGTTCAAATGCCTGTCCATCTTCCATGACCTGACTTGCCATCTGAAGACTGACTTCACATAGGCAAGTGGCGTCTGCTTCTGCCATGCAGGGTTTCCGAATTCCCCTCACCCCAAACATGCACACCCCCTCCTCTAAGTTAAACACCAAAAAAAGAAAATTATCGAACCATCTGGTAAATCTATGTAAATCTGAGGTTCAACATGGATCCAACATGCCACTTTGATGTCTTTGCGCATCCATTTCGTCAAGCACCTGCACGCCCCTTCCCGCCTTGAACTGCTTGGGCGCTAGCTGTCCCAAGGACGGCGCGGCTGCAACTGCAAGCCCCAGCCACGCCATCCATTCGCCAAAGTAGTTCGGATGCCGACACCACCTCCACAGGAAATACTTCTCCTGAGTTGAGTTGACTTGTGCCAGCAAACGCAACCAAAAAAAGCCGGACACCATCCCGGCATCTTAAGTCGTCCTCCAAACGGTGGTTGATGCGTTTTCGGCCGGGTGGACTATGCCTCACATTGGCTGGCTGTCTGCGGGCTGGGTAGGAGTGGGTCCCGAAGTTCCGGTGCCGGAATAAGCTTGCCAGTTCAGCAGTCCAATTCGAGAGCTTGGTGTGACCTTCCCAACGGAAAACATGCACACCTGCTTGTTTTGCGGCAACGCAAAGAGTGGCAGCCAGAATGCTCACCTGGCCTCACGCAACATAAGTCTTGCCATGTCAGCCGCCCCTCCTGTTTCCCGAGTGGGTCAAAAAAGGCCCCCCTTGTTCACTAGCATGGAACCTTAGTGTCGAACATGGTCATGCTTACTTCTCCAGGTCAGAAACATAGTACAAGAGAGGGCGTTGGACACCGAAAGGGGGTCACCATGTTGGTGAATGCTCAAAATTTTGTCAAAAGAGTGTCCTCATCACCAAACAAACAGGCTTGCTTGCTCAGCACACAAGCAATTCATGACACACCGCCTCTGAAAGGTCACAAAGGGTGTTTCCCCCACGCGCTGCCAAAGCGTATATCGCCCTTTTCAGAGGCATCTCTCAGGTTCCAAGTGCGAGCCATGCGTCGAAGGGCGGCATGCCCAGAGTGGACTGACAGGCATGGGGGTGACCTGTGTACCTTAGGCGCTTGGTCTCCGCCACAAAGGCCAGCTTCTGCGCGTCCGCTGAGCTTTCAAAGATCCATCCCAGCAGCCAGGTGGCAAGCCCCAGGCACTCCTCAGCTGTCGGTCTGTGAGACTGACGCCTGACACACCTCGCGCAACAGTGCAAGACATGCATTCCCAAAACGGCCTGAGGTGCTTGCCAATAAATATCAAAATGTCTGCTGCGTCGGTCCTAAAGGAGGAGAGGATTCCCAGAAATCCAGTAGCGCTAAACGATGTCTCTCGATCGCGTCGGCTAAAAGAACTCCCAAATAGCATCTGTCAACGAGGCATGGGGTCGCTGGCAAACATGGTGTTCACATATTCTGGCGGCAGGCCACGGTTTGAAGTTATTAGGAGTGTGCTGGAAACACATGCGCATGCAAAACTACCTTTCACCTTTGGGCGGTCTCATCTTCTCGCTCTTTAAGCATGTGTTCCCTTTATCCGACAGGGGCTCGCTTCGTCTTGGCAAGCTAAGGACGGGTCATGACACGCTTCTTTTAAGGCAGCATGCGTGCGGGGACAACCTTTTGGATCGGCCATGAAACTGCAAGGGTTGATCCTCCCAAAACTGCCCCAGCATAAGTCGCAAACTAAGCATGGCAGCATGGCACCTTTTGAGATTCTGGCCCACGCCTAGCTAGCATTCTGAGAGCCAAAAAAACCAAGGCGACTTCGTTCTGACGTGGCACTGTGAGGTGCAAGCCCGGCTGGGGATTGGCCGCCGCCAGGAAGGCCGGCAGACACAGCAGGATGCAGTTGGACATGCCTCGGCTGCTTCTCCTCTTAGAGCCTCTTGGTAGTTCAACCATAAGACGTGGCCGCAAACATTGATGCATCCATGTAAGTGAACTCTGTGCTGACTCCATGACAGCCCAAGTCCATTGAGTTGTCTGACTTGGCTGTGGAAATTCATGCCACTGGCAGTCCTGTCCAGTGATGAATGCCCAACTACAGTCATTTCCAGCAGAGTGGGAACCAACCCCTTCTCACAAGCCTGGCCTTGTCCAAAGGTTTCTTGCTGCATCTTCAGCCACCACATTCTGGCTGGCATGCCCTCAATCTTGGTCCACTTGTACTTCGCATAGCCTCGTCATGGCAAAGGCGACGCTTCAAGAGGCGAGGGAATCTTTTCCACCGGGACCAAGCAGGGGAAAGACTGTGCACCCTTGCCCCTGGACTCCAGCAAGGGAACAAGAAGACCACTACACTTGCAAGGCCTGCGAATGGTGAGCTACATCAAGGGCCCTCCTGAGAAAGATTAATATGGCTGAGTATGGCTGCCAGCTTTCTACCCATTTTCGGGTTCCCAATTTGGAGACAACCCTTATCTGGGCACCTCGGCCTCTGGCCCCTGGGTCGAGGTAGACTGAGGGGAGAAGGGCCACATGAAGCGTGCTGAGGGCCACAAACCCCCTGCGAAAACAACCACAACAAAACATGGGCCCACGGTAAAGGGCTTGGGTTGCTTGGGTTGGAAGATGGCACGCCGTAGGGTGCGCCCTTTTCCAGAATGCTCAAAGGAAACCGAAGGAAAACCAACCATCAACAGGGGCATCCACCAATGGACAACTCCCATTGCGAGCCATCGCCAAGTGCCCGGCAATAACGTGGCAAGTCCTCCTGGAAGCGGAAGGTGAATTTGGTGGCCTGGCCATGGACCATCCAATGGTTTGATGCGCAAACTCTTTGATGCATGTGAACGGTTTTTCTTTTTTGTGGATGGATGGCTGTTCGAAACGGGTGAGCTCATGATGTACAACAAAATCTGCTTGCGCAGCGTGAGAAACTTCCGTACAAAAGATCCGTCAGTGGTAGAATTTCTCACGGTTCTCTCCATCTCTTTGTGGCATATGTTCGCAGATTTTAAGCCCAACATACGCCTTAAGGGAGATTCTCCAAACCAGACACACCAAATCGCAGATATATTTGGGGTGATTCCCCCCCCCAGTTTGACATGGCTTGCGCAACTCCGCCCAGCCTGGCCAAAGAGCACCAAGGCGCCCAACGCCATGCGCCCTCCGTGGAGCAAGTAGCACGCAGAGATCAAGCTCCGCCGCCACCAGTCCTCGGACGGATCCGCCAGCCGTGTGGAACCCGGCGTGTGAAAGAACATTTTTTTGTGCGATAGGTAGGGAAAAACCATTCCGGGTATTGGGAATGAATTCCGAAGGGGCTTGCAGAACAAAGGAAACCATTAGGGCATGGGTTTTCGGGGTCGTTCCCGCCTTCCCCGAGAACCAGCAAGAACAAAAAAGTGAACCTCCAAGAACCCTCAACCCTCCCAATGAAAAAGGTTCCTGTCATGGGTGTCCCGGCATGTTCACGAGGCACTGTATGTTCTAGGGTTCTCAGACAACTTCAAAACACGACGTGTTTTTTGGGGAATTATTGAGCAAAATAAAGAGCACGTAGATGTGACGTTCAACATGGTCAACATCCAGATTTAAAAAAAACAAAAAGCGTTTGTCCAACAGATCTGGAAACAAACACCTTGGAAAACCACTGCGGATATCAAGGGCCCGCCGCTTTCAAGCCTCTTGATGGGAGCAATTTCTGCCTCATTGTGTAGAAAATGTCGCATACCTCGAAGAGGAATCCTACACTGCTAAGTGGCCCGATAATTTTATCCATGCAGCTCAAAGGGACCAAGCCTGCTACCCAAATATGCCGTCTTACCGTAAACTCTTAAACAAAAATATGGAAATGGATGCAATCAAAGACCAACCCAAAAAGCCGCTCTATGCATGGGTGTGTGCTTTGCTGGAGTGTATATAGCCTTTTCAGGTTCGTCTAAAGGGGAAACCAAAGCGAGAACCACTCAAAATGGTCCCTATAGCTCATACCTGCATACGCCAGCAGCCAAGTGGCCCCAGTGCCACAAACGAGAGCAATGACCCCAATGGCCACTAGGCCACTTGGCCAGCCGATGTCCACATAGGTCATGTGACCCGTCAACGCCACCGGGAGCTGTACGAAGGGCAGAAAAATGCAGAGCTGCACCAAGCAGTTGGTCCAAAACAAGTCCTAGCAGGTGGCGGAAGGTTGCACAAAACATGCAGGTATCTCCTCAAGTTACCAACTTTCAGCAAGACATCTCCCGAGCAACAGACAACCATCAGGGGTGAGCTCATTTTACCCCTCAGGTAAGCTCGCCATCACTTGTGCACAAGACATGATGGCTGGCAGGGCCTTGAGCTCGGGTGGCGCAAAGACGACCCCGAGAGCGAGGCAGTAGACCAACAGGCTTTCCTGAGACAGCCGAGAAGTACATATCCCTTTCAGCAAACCTTGGGATCATTTGCCCAAGAGGTATGCAAAAAGGAAAGGGGTACGCATCAAGACCCCTGAAACCTAAACCTCGAGTCATGGTCAGTCCCAATTGATGGGAACTTTGGAGGAACCATTAATGGCCTCACAAAGTGATAGAGGGGGACGCCATGTTGACCCATGACAACCCTAATTAAGGGAGAGGCTAAACACACCCTGTATAGTCCATGGGTTGTGTCAGCACGGCAAGTGCGCTGAGGAAAATTAAAAGCACGAGTACGCCGGAAGCCAGCTCGACTCGGTCTGCGTACAAGGCTCTAGTGGGTGCAAATTGCCGGCGATGGTAAAGTAATTGAAACAATGCCCCTTTGGAAGCGCCATGGGTCACGGACACCGCTTGGTAGGGCGGAACAGGCCAATGAGTCATGAGCTGTCCAGGGCGCCTTTGCATGCGTGCGCGGAGAAAAGCTCATAATTTTCTGTGCAAACTGGGCCAACACCTGCTGCAGGGCCAGGGCGATGCCTAACAACCCTTGGCGCATGGCACCTCGTGATGGGGCTGTGCTGGAGGAAATCCTTAGAGAAAGAATCGCTTGTCCAGGCGACTCAGAGAAGCTACCCCGGATAATCAAGCTCGATCGCGCAGTAGTCAAGATTGTGCCTTGCATCTTGGCGCGGGCAAGTTGGGGGATTTCGCTTCTTCTTCCCGTGTTCCAGGGGCCAAAGGCAAGAGCCTAAATGGTTGCGAGTCGTGAAAAAAAAACGGCCCGGAAAAGTTCCCCACCCAATCCTTTTGCAGTTTCGTCATTCTGTGCCTTTTTGGTCACTCATGCAGAGCAGTGGAAATTCCTTTCCGGGTAACTGGTTTTTCACTGCTCAAGTTGCCATATTGAGCTTCTGAGGAAACATTGTTTGGGTTGTTTGACGGAGAAGCCAAATAGAAACCACATATTCGGAGGCTTCTCCCCAGACCACCCCACACTAAAAGCAGCCTGACCCATACATCCATTGCGTTTGGTCTGCAAATGGTTCGGGCTCAGACATGCCCTTCCCGCACCCCGATCTCCTTAGCTCAGCTCGGCAAACCCGGTCTTTTGATTTGTGTGTGCTCTGGCTGGTTTATGTTGAGTTTCCGCAACCTAAAACAAGAAGCCTTTTGTTTGTGGCAACTTTTCCGGGCTCGAAACATGTTTTCCAGCCGCGCTGAAAAGCGCTTGCAGGCGCCGACAAACCAAACACAACTTCTCGAGGCTCGAAAAGTTGCTTTCCAGCTGCTTTGGGATTGCTTTGAGCTTCGGGGCCCGCAACCAAAAACAACTTTTCTGGGCTCGAGCCCAAGCCCGAGACCAAAACTTAAGCCATCGCAAAAACCAAGCCCGCGGCTCGAAAAGTTGTTTTCCACGTCTGAGACTTAGGTTTCCGGCGAGGTCCCGAAAAATCTTCTCGAGGCTCGAAAAGTTGTTTTCTGAACTTGTTGGTCGAAAGTACCCATTCCAGCAACCTGGTCCCTTTTTCACCTACAAGCAGTGCGGACCAAAAACACCTTCGCAAAAATAGGGATCTGACAAACAGAGCTTACGGAAAGCTTACGACGCGTGACTCATGCATGCAGCTTACGCAGGACCTTGACTCATGCATGCAGCTTACGCAGGACCTTCCGATCGCTTGCAAAAACGCTTACGGCTGCAAGAGTAATTTCCATGTTGCATCTAATTTCATCTACGGAGGTTTTTCTTCGCCGCTCACTTGTTTTTTTTTTTTTTTAAGCGAGATACGAGAACACCGAAAAACATAAAGCCTTGGCAATCATCAGGCTCATGTTGTCGCGGGCCGCTGTAGGACTACCCAGCCTCAGGTTTATCCAAAGCACTGAAGTTTAGTGCCTGTGAAGGAGTCGCGCCCGGAAACATGAAAACCCAGTCAATCAAGGGAAACCCGGATTCATAATAAACCCCGTGTCCCTTTTTTTGATTCATGCGAGAATGGGACACCCGATTGATCCTGGGTAATATCATTGAGAGGCTCGGGCCCTGCTCTGCGCGAAAATTCCTGGCATCCTGGTAGCCATCCGTGAAAAGCGGCAATGTGTGCTAAATGGATAGGACGCAAATGAAGCACGGGGCGAACAAACCCGTGATGTGCCCTACATGTCAGGGCACAATTGAGCGACGCCCAAAACCCCGGGACGGCCTTACAACCCCCCGCCCCAATAGCACAATGTAGTAGAAGCACCTACTAAAAGGACATGGCCAATGGGCGCTGCTAAACTTGATTATAGTTGTTCGGCCCAGATAATCTTACCCTCAAGACATGCTCGCCACTCTTGATACCCCCGCCCTCAGCCAAGCAGCACGCAGCAAAATGCTTATTATTTGTGCGTCCCTTGACGCATAAACAGTTCAATCGGAAACTTATGTTCAAGGTGATGGCTCAACGACTCAAAAACGATCATGTGAGGCCGCCTGCAACCCTCGACTGCGCTTGCACCGAGTCTGCACCATGGACGGGCACCCGGCATCGGATACCTTTGTGTCTTGTGCAGCATGTTGGCTTCGCCAACCTTGGCGAAACTGCTGCCCGTGAAAGATGCTGGACACAGGGTCCCGGGTTCAGACAAATCACAAAAATAACTCAGGCTGTATAGATTGGCTTCCAGGGGCGAATAAGCGCGCGAGTTGGTGAGAGCCGTAGTCAAACGGCCAAACCTCCTCCATCTGCCTCTCAAGAGGCACTCTGCACCAAACCGATGTTTTTTTTTGGCATCTCTCAGCAGAGGCAGCCAACATCTCGCTCTAAGTTGCCGACCTCTTTTTGCATGTTTGCCACCTGCCAAAGCCGGATGGCCATCACAGCTGGCGGAATCTCACACTGACCAGCCCACGTGGCGAACTACAATCTCTAAAGAGTGCTGGACAGCTGAGGTATCTGGCATCAAAGCACATCTTAACCGCTAGCACCGGCCGGGGTGGGTGGGTGGGTGGGTGGGTGGGTGGGAGAACTTGAAATGCCGAAAACAGAAAAGCATCCCGTAGTGAGCTCCGATTATTCTCCCTTGACTATGTTCCCACGAATCTCATGGAGAAGCCCTCATGTTTTCAGCAGGGCTCAGCACACCGTTTGCCTGGTGCAACTCTTGAAGCTGTTTAGCTGGCTCACTGACTACCTGTCGGACTGCCGGACTGCCCGACTGACTGCCTGGCTGGCTGGCTGGCTGGCCGACCGACCAACTGACCGACCGACCAGCAGGACTGAACGGCGGGCGAGCGGGCGTGCGGACGGATCAAATGAAGCGCTGGCGGTTGCATAACTGGCCTGTCGGCATTGATTCTTGCCTCTTTGCCCTCACTCATGTGCAACTCTGTGCGTGAGGGGGACATGTCATGTGTGGCACCCCTCCATCCCTCGAATGTTTCAGGGCCGTTCTCGCGTGTGTCAAGCCTCAACCTAAGCCGCCCCACCTACCGCACCCTGCAGCCCACGCCCCCATGCCCTGTGGCACCCGTTCATCCAAAGAGATGCGGCCGCTGCGCAAAGGTTCAGGCCGGCCGCCCTGCCAGTAAGGACGGGCAAGAAGAACAGGAAATCTGGTGCGGGAACCTTTGAAAGCCTTGTTCCCTACAAGGAAACCCGATCTGAACTAGGCAATGAACTCGTGAAAACTGGCATGCAACACGAACAAACGCCCGTGCGTAAAAAGCCTGACCATTCGTGAAACGTGATTCGAAGGTTTGATTCCCCATTCTCTTCACCCATCGTTCTCTTTGGAAACCACCCATTATCCAGGGTGTTGGCCCATTCTTTGAGGAGAATGATGCTTGAAGAGAATGGGGAGGGTACCGCTAGAACGATGCGAGGCAATCACTTAAAACATTGGCATCATACGAGCAAAGCAAGACACCTCTTGTTTTGCAGCTCCAGCGAACAAGGGCAATAGAAAGTGTTTGGGGAAAGAGCTCAGTGCACACAAGGATTGGACGTCAAGCCGTGCCCAGCTGCCAGGCCATGAATACCGGCAGAAGGATCAATCCCCTTCTTTCTCAGCACTCCGCCGCAATGCCGCTTGCTAAAATAAAGTGCCGTATGAAAGAAGCCTGAGCTTGCCGTGGCTTTGAAAGTCAATGTCGCAAATCATTTCAGTAGGATACGCGCTTGATTGAAGTGAGCAATCAGCACCTGCGGTGCTTATCGTTGAATTACACTGAAGCTGGGCCTTCCGTTAAACTGTCAAGTCCTCCATATGTCTCGAAAGCCATTCACAGGCATCATTGAAGGCAAACATGACGCCGACAGCAATACAATCAGCTCTAGCAGTGCAGACCCGACCAAGAAACAACCGTTTGCCCTTTTGTCCATTCATAAGGACCAAACTCGCACCCAGAAAGCCAAACCTACCTGATGGTTCCCTCGTGTAACCCCTCCTTATGCAAATATATTGTACAGTTGTGAGAGGGTTGTCCCAATGGGCCCCTCCTTTTCTGAGTCCGAGCTTGGCCGCGTCCCATGTCGCCTGCAGCCTCGCAAAGCGATCCGTCCGTGCCAGGTGCACGAGGAACACATCCTGGGCTACCGCAGCCATGGCGGCCCAGGAGGCTTTGGAAACAAATTGGGTGACCCAGATTAGGTTCTAACGAATGGGTTCTAGCGTATGGAGCATGTGATCACCCCCCAAGCAAGAAGAACAGGGTAATATGAAAATAGGCTCCCCTTCGAAGTCGACACAACCAAAACGGCTACGCTGAACACATGGCCACACCAGGGCCTTTTGGAGGCAAACATGATGTGGACTTGCGACAAATGAGCATGCGCGTGTAATCGACCCCATTGATTGACGCTGTGTCGAACAGGCTGCTTGAGCGGGGGGGGGGACAGTGACCAGCACAAGAAGTCTGGGACTGCGACGAGCGGTGCGCATCGGTAGGCATCTAGGACCTGGCGGGGGCCCTGAAACCCACATCGTGGCTTCTGGTCGCAAACCAAAATCATTTGTGAGGTCGTCGAAACTTGCTCAGGTCTATGGAGGGTTCATGGCCCTCGGTCGGAAGCTTGCACATGACGATAAGACCTATGGACAAGACTAATACTAGGACTCCAGAGGTCAAACAATCGTTTCGCTGCGGAGAATCAAGGCATGCTTCACTACATGTTGCTTTAGAGACTTTAGAGTGACTCTCGAAAAACTGTTTTTTGGGGCATGAGCACCTCCCTGTAAGTGGCAGGGTTGTATGGTGATCATGGCGTTGGCAAACAAACTCCTGGCCCCCAGCTCTGCTGGACGATTTGGATGAATCATGCACTTTAACAAGTTCTTCCAAGAAGGCCTGTGGGACGGCGAAGCCACATGGTGAGCCCCGAAGTCCGGACATGTCCAACGGAAATCCATCCCTGGCTCCTTGCCGTAAACCCAGGGTATCCGCATGCAACTGATGCGCACCCTGCTCCAATCGATAACTGAAAAGCCTCAGAGTCAAAAGCTTTCTGGGGGGACCATACCTTACATTGAAAGTCAAGAAAACACATGCCTCCCCAGTCTCTGCATGTTTTCTTGGTAGGTTCTGCACATTTACAGGCCATGCGCAACAAAGGCAGGCACACCCTGTCGATCGACTGCATAATCCAGGTTGGGCGGTTGCCTCGTATGACAGGGTTGACTGACTGCCACGTGCCATCCTTGAAAGTGAAAACATAAGTCCAACGACAACCATGATAGACAAACAAACAAGCCAGCGTCGGAACACGCTAATATGCCATCCTGCATCAAGACATGTATGTAATTCACAGTCGTAGCGGGAGCTTCGTGAAATCTGGGTTTCTCAGTCTTGCCCATGACAGGATCACGAGGCCTCGCGGGCATATCTGTGGCAGCAGTGGGTTCTAGAAGTGATGGCTTCATGCGATGGCTTCATGCTTCCCTGCCCCTGCACAACTTCAAAGTCCAACCCCCAACCTATGATTTCTGGGCAAAGTGCTGTACTCGCCAGCCGGCAATGTGGAATCCTCCGTTGAGCGAGCTTGTTTTACACCCAGGTGCGCACGATTTGCCCATATGTTCGGGGAAAACCTTCGACTTGGCCTCCCCGCCCAAAGGGCCAGAACCCACTGCTGTTAGGAAGACTCGCACCCGCTGCCCGCGCCTCGAATGGAAGGAGTCGCTTGTCTCCAAAGTGAGGACCCTCCCCCCCAAACACACAAAACAGATCAGCTTGGTTTCTTTGTTTTGACAAGCCCAGAAAGTTTGCAGTCAAAAAACGAAAACACTCGCGCGTGTTCTTTACCTGTCCCCCCTTTGTGGTCCACAGACCTAATTATCCAAGGAAGGACAGACCCCCTGTGTATTCCACTTATTTGCTGGGTCTGGGTTCTGCCAAAGTCACATGGAGTCGAGGAAGTGGGCAAGGTGGACAAGGTGCACTTTCAAGAAAACTGTTGTCCTTCCAAAAAAAAACACGGGCGTGCGCAAAGAGGGGGTTCATTTTTCTCTCTCTCTCTCTCTCTCGCGTGCCATCGGAATCCGTCCCCATTTTTGGGCAGCTCTTTCCAGTTGAGGGGACCCTTATTATAGGGAAACCACAAAGAAACCATGATTGCCAACCCGCCCTCCCACTTCCGTGGTTGCACACAGACCATCCAACCGATGGCCGGGCTTCCGGCTGGGCAGCCAGCAGCGTTGCAGCTGCCAGGGTCGCATCCTGATGTGTCTGCCCCTCTGCAAAAGAACATGGAACTCAACAAACGGGGTCCCCAAAAGGAGAGCCCTCGACAAAATCATAGCTTCTTGCAGTTCCATTTTTAAGTTCCATGTTCATCTGCAAGGCAGGATATGACAGACTCTTCCTTCGTTCTGAGCGCGCTTAATGCCGTGCGCCGTGCTCAGTGTGCGCCTGTCTTCGGTGCTCACAATAGCTCGGCAGAATTTCAGTGATGAACGGGCGGCATTGCACCAACTCATACCAACTCACAAGGCCTGTCGGGATGAAACTCTCAGAGGTCCGTCTGACTTTGTGACTGGCGACCGGGTTCAAAAGTGGTCAGAAGGTGCCGGCCGACCCCCCAAGCATCCTAATAACATACCACAGCCATGGTTGGGAGTTGGGACCTACCTTACCAACAGGACTGGGCTAACCCTAAGCGTTAAGACAACCTCCTTGTGATCTTGCCCGGCCCGGTCTGGCTGATTGAACATATCTTGCCCAACCCTGCTTCCCATGAAACCCCAACGTCTCAGCTAAGCGCCCAGGCGTACGCGCCTGTTAGCAGGCTCACTGCAAAGGGGGCCCAGTGCTGCGCCTGAAGCGATGGTTTCGGGGGAAGTCCTGCACATGTAACTGGGTGGTAGGCAGGAGGTTGGCAAATCAGCTACCCATTCCCCTTTGGCTTCAATTTGGGAAAAACAAATCAACAATAGGTTCCCAGGTAGTGCAAAAAGACGCTGGCAATTGGGATCAACCACGTTCAGAACTTTTGAAGGCTTCAACAACCAAAAGCCTCTTGGGCAAGTGCTTGTTTTGACGCCACCACGTCACACCGGCGTAAACAATGCAGCCCAATGCCGGGTAAATGGCGAAGCTGAGGGTAAGCTCAGGTTAACCACAAGCGACTGCTCTCAGTCTTGACAAGCGGCCATGGCGAAGGTGTGGAATCCTGAAGCCTATGTACCCGATGAGACCTGACCTAGCGCAAATAACTTTGTATGCGCGAGTGTATGCATGTTTGTGAATGAGCGCGTGCGTGCGTGCGTGCGTGCGTGCGTGCGTGCGTGCGTGCGTGCGTGCGTGCGTGCGTGCGTGCGTGCGTGCGTGCGTGCGTGCGTGCGTGCGTGCGTGCGTGCGCGTGCGTGCGTGCGTGCGTGCGTGCGTGCGTGCGTGCGTGCGTGCGTGCGTGCGTGCGTGCGTGCGTGCGTGCGTGCGTGCGTGCGTGCGTGCGTGCGTGCGTGCGTGCGTGCGTGCGTGCGTGCGTGCGTGCGTGCGTGCGTGCGTGCGTGCGTGCGTGCGTGCGTGCGTGCGTGCGTGCGTGCGTGCGTGCGTGCGTGCGTGCGTGCGTGCGTGCGTGCGTGCGTGCGTGCGTGCGTGCGTGCGTGCGTGCGTGCGTGCGTGCGTGCGTGCGTGCGTGCGTGCGTGCGTGCGTGCGTGCGTGCGTGCGTGCGTGCGTGCGTGCGTGCGTGCGTGCGTGCGTGCGTGCGTGCGTGCGTGCGTGCGTGCGTGCGTGCGTGCGTGCGTGCGTGCGTGCGTGCGTGCGTGCGTGCGTGCGTGCGTGCGTGCGTGCGTGCGTGCGTGCGTGCGTGCGTGCGTGCGTGCGTGCGTGCGTGCGTGCGTGCGTGCGTGCGTGCGTGCGTGCGTGCGTGCGTGCGTGCGTGCGTGCGTGCGTGCGTGCGTGCGTGCGTGCGTGCGTGCGTGCGTGCGTGCGTGCGTGCGTGCGTGCGTGCGTGCAGTGCGTGCGTGCGTGCGTGCGTGCGTGCGTGCGTGCGTGCGTGCGTGCGTGCGTGCGTGCGTGCGTGCGTGCGTGCGTGCGTGCGTGCGTGCGTGCGTGCGTGCGAGCGTGCGTGCGTGCGTGCGTGCGTGTGCGTGCGTGCGTGCGTGCGTGCGTGCGTGCGTGCGTGCGTGCGTGCGTGCGTGCGTGCGTGCGTGCGTGCGTGCGTGCGTGCGTGCGTGCGTGCGTGCGTGCGTGCGTGCGTGCGTGCGTGCGTGCGTGCGTGCGTGCGTGCGTGCGTGCGTGCGTGCGTGCGTGCGTGCGTGCGTGCGTGCGTGCGTGCGTGCGTGCGTGCGTGCGTGCGTGCGTGCGTGCGTGCGTGCGTGCGTGCGTGCGTGCGTGCGTGCGTGCGTGCGTGCGTGCGTGCGTGCGTCGTGCGTGCGTGCGTGCGTGCGTGCGTGCGTGCGTGCGTGCGTGCGTGCGTGCGTGCGTGCGTGCGTGCGTGCGTGCGTGCGTGCGTGCGTGCGTGCGTGCGTGCGTGCGTGCGTGTGTGTGTGTGTGTGTGTGTGTGTGTGTCTGTCAACAAAATGCAAGGCCTGATAGGATAACCCTCCTCCGCCGATGAGATCGGCGAGGCGAAGGCACCTTCACAATCTTTGAGAAGGCCACGGCCGGAGCGGAGCAGCACACCTAGCCCAAGGCTTGGGAAAAAAAGGTGCAAATCGGCTTAAACAACCAGACCCCCTCTGTAGTCTAGTTGCGTGTCTCAGTCTGCAGGTAGGATTAAGGATTAGGAATTCTCTTGGGCATTTGTGTTCAGCCAACCTGTCTGTCCTTGGGCGACAATCCGCCTCTGGGAAGTCAAGGGGCTAAATAAACAATTACACACATTATTATCCTATTCAATTTGGTTTGAGGCACCGCCCGCAACCCTATTCCAAGAGCCCGTTTATGCCGTTTACTCGGAATCCATTTGCGCCTGGCAAATGTTCTGCGTAAAGTCTTCCAGCACTACCTGCGTGTCCCAGTGCACCTCGTTCCGAGCAAAGGGTGTCCATCCGCCGCATGTGCCAAGAAACCATCCGCCCTCATCAAAGGGTATCCCTGAAGCTTGCCCTATAGTTCACCTACACTTGCATTGTTGAGATGCCTAATTGGATAATGAATGCTACTGAAACAAATGCTTCAAACTTGAGTAGGCGATGGATTTGACAAGTGCCATGATGTGACAAGCTAGCGCAAAATGGTCCAGCGGCATGCACACAAGACAAGACAACGCGTTTCCCGCCAGAAGCACGTAAGGCCCCCAAAATGTAAATTTTCACATCACCCTGCTGAACGTGCCATTGCGTGCCACTGCCTGTGGTTTGAGGGGAGCGGCACCTGGGCAACCCAGCTCCAACCTTGGTTCTGCAGGAGACATCGTCCGCCAGGATCTTGTCGCCCTCTAGCCCTGGCCGAAGGTCGACTTTTTGGCGGCTCAAAAGAGCAGCCAATCCTGACTTAATGTGGCGGCTGAAGCACAAAATGTCCCCTGAGCCCTTGAGCCTTGCTTGCGCATGGGTCAAGCTTTAAATCCTGGCTTGCAATGGGGGCCCGCCGCTGTGCCCCGGGGCCTTCCTGAGAAGCAGGCTTTGATTGCATGGATTCAAGAAGCGTTTCACACCACCCCGCCAAAGAGGAGACGCACTTTACTTGCCCCAAATGTGTTTAACCAAGGAAACCCAGAAGCACGGCCTAGGCCATATTTCATGGCCCCATTTGTGTAAACCTCCACAATGTCAAAGACCCAGGGATCCCATAGGCGGAAGCCTTCTCCTTTGGCCCCCGGCTCTCACTGAGGTCGATGAGCTTGGCGCCGGGCCTCACGAATCAAATGGTGCAATGTGCAGTGCTAGTCAAGCAACATTCAACTCATGCCGTCAAATGCCGTCAAGCATGTTTGGCTTGTTTGTTTCACAAAGCGACACACTTTGGAATCGGGGACCTGGAGCCAGCGTGAGTCGTGTCCGTGACAGCCTTTTGAACAAGGCAGGGCCTCGGCAGCAGGAAGCCATTCTTGACCATCCAATATCCTGGCCGGGCAAGGTGGACACTGCCGATCTTGGAGGTGGGCCCTTGCCGGAAAGGGGCATGAAAAGCTTCCTCACTGGGTTGATTGCCATCAACAGCCACACTTTACATGGGCTGTACACGGGTCATTCAACTTTCTGCAGCCCTCAATCCAAAGGAACGAGTTTTGCCACATCCATCGGGCCAACCAAAGCCAGCCCACGAGGTGTTCCGTGTGGGTGCGGCCAAGGTACAAGCCATCAACAGCAAGGGAAGGGGGAATCAAAGCAGCCTAACAACGAGCCCGCACAAGCAGTAAATCAGATGATGAGGCCATGACGCCACAACAAAAACACACCAAGGCTGGAATGTTAAGGTCACGTCTCCCTACCTTTATTTTCGGATGGTCGACTCCAGTCAATGTACATCCAAGCATCGGCCGCTCCGTCAGCTCCCTCCTTCCCGCTTGTTCGCCAGCAGGTCGCCCACCTGAGACATGAGCTCCACCTGGCCAGCTGAAGGATCCGTCCTCACGTTGCCTCTGAGCAAAACTCTCCCCCTCCCTTAACCCCAAAGGGGAAGCTCGTGTCAAGGCTCAGGGTCTCAGAAATAGGGTCGTTTGTACCCTGAGCACACGTGGCTTGTGAGCAAATTTGTGAGCAAATGCCGTGGTGTGAATCTGTCAGCACCAACTCATACTCATTGAGATAGTTGTTGCTTGGTTGTTTGGTTGTTTGGTTGTTTGGTTGTATGATTTTTGTTTCTTCTTCTTTTTGTTGAGGGGGGAGGGGCAAAAGTCCTAAGACTTTAGACTGTAAGCGGGCCCGCAGCTGACGAGACGAGACTTTGGGATATTCAATGGAAACAAGGTGAGTTGGCCACATGTGTGGAATTGACAGCTTGCTTTCGATGCGTTTCAAAGGCCACCTTCAGAAACAACGCTTGGACTCATTTTATTTGCTTTGCTTTAGGGAAACCATGAAGTTATCTGGACGCGATGCCCTGACTGCACTGCCAAATTGCTAACGTCCAAGAAAGCAAGCTGCATGCATAGAGCTAATATAAGCAAAATACAGGCGGCCCCAATGAAGATCCAAGAAGCTCAGTGCGGCTACCCGAGTTTTTCTTCCATCAAGCCACGATTTGGAAGCCCATCCCCCGCCAAGCTCCCCGAAACCTGGCAGATCATATCGGAGTTATGCCCCGCTGGGATGGACAACACCTCACGAATCATCTTTCAGCTCCTGAAGAAGGGAAGATACCCAACCCGCACTCTGAGCATGAAAGCTTCATGCTGAACAAAAGCAGGAAGCTCAAGCGACGCGGTCAGCCGCCTTTTTTGCGCGCGAGCCAGGCTGAGTCAGGACTCAAATATAATACTTAACACACACATCTAGAATTGAAATCGCAGCAATCCATCTACTCCTCAAGCGCAGGCAGTGGATTCTTTTCCAGCACCTGGGACATCTCACCTCAGCAGACTCAAATTGAAAATTCGAGCCGAACCAATCGCCCAAACCTTGAAGGGCCAAGCAATCCTTACTCCCTAAGCAAACTTGCCATCTTTAGGGGCTCCTACAATGACGACTCGATCAGTTGCTATGCCAAAGAGTAGTCAACTTAAATCGTCAACCTCATGTCCTCATGTTTGAACAGCTTGCTGTGCACCCAGAACTGCAAGTTTCCTGCTTGTTCTCTTTTGAGGCACAGCCCTTGTAGGCAACCCCTTAGTAGATCCGTTTCTTGAGTTTCTGGGCGGTAGGGCGCCGGAAAAGTCACACCTTTCAAACCCCTTGCTTCAAGCCAATAAGTATACGGGCATACGGGCTATTTGTCACCAACTCTAGTCCGGGGGTCGCTCCAGGAAGAGGTTCTGGTCTTCCTCCGTGCGCGCCTTGCGCCAGTCCCAATACTGCAGCACCAGCATCCGGTAGCCCAAACCCTCCAGGAGTCGGTGTTTCAAATGCCTCAGTTTTGAGAACACGAGCCGCGCAAGGAAGACTGGGCACCGCTGGAGTTCTTAACAGGGCGCCTGGGCCCTAAACAAGTCTAGGAGTACCTTCCCCATTCTTTCCAGGGATCCTTCTTTTCAAGAAACCATCAAAAACTCAGGGGAAACAGCCGGTTTTTGAAAGGAACGACGGTTGAAAAGAATGGCGAATCAATCCCTAGAACAAGCACATCCAAACAGATTGAAGGGGGCGCCTGCTTCACTTCGTTAAAGTGCTGTTCAAAAAGTCACTCCTGGCAGCATTCAAGGGTTCCACGGGTCGTGCTCTTGAGGGCGTACCCCTTTGTTTGCACCCGTTGTACAACGCATTAGCTAATGGAGGGGCGCGACCTTCAGGGTACGACTCTGGAACCCTTGAAGTACACCGGTGGAAATGCTGGAACGGAACCAAGCATATTGTATGTTTTTGGCGGGTTGATGAAGCTCATTATTGCTGAAGGGAAACTGCAGGAGTGGTCAATCGCGTGGTTGACTCCAGCTGACAGGGTGATATGCACCTCGATCCCTTTACAGAGTCGAACTCGCAAGCGGTGGTCTTGGTCTTCTTGCCAAGCGTGCACGCCCGTAGAAGAAACAACAGTCGAATCGGGGTGAGCCGAGATGCCTGTCAAAATGGGCCTAAACCTACAGGCAAAGACAATTCCTGGACAGTGTCATGATCGTTTGGCCTATTCCTGCATCAATCTACTGCATGCTCCAGATGTAAACCTGTGTCAAGGGCAAGTTTCATTGCTGAGTGATTGAAATGATGCCCTCCACGCAGCTGTACATGGGATTCCTTCCAACAAATAATCTCCACAAGGCTGTTATGCCCCTCAGCAAAGGATGCTCTCGTTTCTTGCATTGAATGTGAGACATGACCAAACACATCAATTGCAGCGCTGAGGGCTCATGTTCACATTCTGAATTGAAAGGCAAGATGCCTCGCAGTTGGCCAACTAATGATTTCCAAATCCAGTGCAGTCTTGCTCTCCTCATCAAGCATGTCCACACGGTAGGGTCCGCATTGGGCATTGCGGACCATCTGAAGCTTCCAGCGCATACCATTCGTAGCAATGCGGAGGTTGTCGAAGCGCATGACCACCTCATTGTGTAGCCTTGCGGACTCCAGCCTTCAGGGAAGCAAAACAGCAGACCCTTCCGCCAATCCCGCGAAGAAAACAAAAAGAGGAAAAACAAAAGAACCAAAAACTTCTGCAAACCTTCCGTGGCTGCAGTGCCGCGCTGCCATTTTTTGATCTGTCAACAACTCTGCACGTTTGCTGCGGTAAACAAACGCCAGCCCCGCCTCTCGGTCTCGAATCGGTCAGCTTCATCACAGGCGCCCTTCCAGCTTGCCGGCACTGAGATGCCCAAATCCTTATACTCCAGATCCAGCGCGTTGATCACGTCGAAGAACTTCATCAAGGGAGCACGGTTCTGGGGAGGATTCCTCTCACGCAAAACTCTGAAATAAAGCAAGGATCTCTCTAGTGGTGCAAGGTTCATTCAGGACCACTGCCTGACTTAGGCTTTGCCCTCCAACAAAGAAGCGTGACAGCAGAGTATGCGCTCAGTAGAACAAAGACCAACAGTCTGGTTTCACAACAGGACCCTTCCTCAGTCTTTACATGCAACCCCAACTTCGGAGTCATCAAACATGCCAAACGCCAAATGCAAGACCTCGCCATGTGCACCCAAGCACGCAGCCTGTCCTTTCAAGGAGCGCGTCAAGCGCTGCCTTGAACTCATTTGGGAACTCCCGAACCAGGTCCAGTGCAACCAGAGCCCATGCGAAGTCCACCAGCGAGCCCCCGCTCATCTTCTTGAGGCCGCCAGGGCTGTCTACGTACCTGTCAAGCTCGAGAAAACACACAACATATCCCAAACACTGGCCCCAACCTTTTCGTACCTGACACGTTTCCCTTTAGGCCATTGTAAAATCATCGTTGTAGTTTGTCGACAGCACCTTGCATCCGCCCATCCTCCACCCGTTTCATATAAGCACACACGTTGTTGTCTCATAATCATAATCTTGACTTAATCAACTTGGTCTGAAAGTAACCCGCACCCCTATTCTCATTTCTAGGCCTGTATAGTACTGGCAAAACCTCCCCCCGAAGGCTTGATACATCCGTTAAAAAAAGACTCTTATAGTATTGCTCTTACAGCATTGCCGTGGGCACTGCGCGATCAGCATCCGCACGGTGTCCAGCTGGTGTCTGGCATCCACCATGGCCAACGCATAAAGGAATTCGGAGATCTGGCTGCCTATGAGCCGATCCAACTCCGGGCGCAAAGCGTCCACCAACTCGTCCACCGTGCCTCAGGCGCGAGAATCACCAATTGAGTGATCTCCTGAAGTGGGGCTTGGTAAATGGGCGTTTCTTTCATGCAGGAAAAATGGAGAACTCCTCCTGAAATGCGAACGCTTCGTAGCTGGTTGGCTTTTTGGTCTTCAAATTGAAACAACCACGCATCCCAAGCCCTATCTGGAGATTCAGCGGTGGGTCTGGTTCGAGGGCACAAGAAACAAACTTGGGCAAAGTGCCTTCTGTTCCACTTCGATTCAATGAAATACGTGTTGGGGAGGTCTGTGTCTCATCCCGCATCCCCATCTAAAGGTCTTTGTAAGCATGCCCCTTTGTTCTTCAACAACTCCTAAGCGTTGGGTTCATGATGCCACTTGCAGGTGTTTTCAGGTTACAGGGGGACACAGGTACACGCCGAGATTTAGTCGAGATACTGACTATCCCTGCAACAAAGCAGCGGATGTCAAGGCATGAATCTTATCTGTGCAATCTTACTACTTTCTGCCAACCAGACACAAGCTGCAGAAGCACCTGCAGTTGGATTGCCTGACAGAAGCTGAAAACCAAAGCGAGCAAGTGCAACTGCACAACTGCTCACATGTTCCAGAAAAAGCCGGAATACAACGGTTGAGCGCTAATTTTGTGGAATCGGATCAAAATTGGAATGGTGTGTCAACTTTGGAACCTGGACAAAAGATCGAGCGCTGAACAAGGGTCGGGCGGGATTTAAACCATAACCAAAAACCATCCGCCTCCGAGCTGGTCTCTGGAACCGAGCTGCTCCGCGAAAGGAACCGCAACTTGGCCAGGGAGTAGGCCATCTTGGCGAGCTCCCGGGGGGTGAACTGCTGGAGGTTCTCCGGCGTCGGAAACTAAACAGCCTACCCTAACACAAACATTTCAAACATTTTCAAACATTTCAAACATTTCAAACAAAGAAACCATTTTAAACAAAGAAACAAAGAAATGACGCTGGACTCCCGCGGCCTCAAAGGCGAGATTGCACAGCCGGCGCAGCAGGAAGCCCCGTGCCAAGCCTAGTCGGCTGAGCACCGCCAAAGAGTCCACCTGACATCTGGTAAGTGACAATGAATGGAGGGCCGAATGTTGCGCCATGTTGAACCCAACACCTTGGATTTGAATCTTTTTACATTGATCATTCTAGTCCAGCGCAAAGATGTACCTCGTTTGTATTGGAATCTCCT